ATTCATAATGAGGTATGATGCAGGTTTCAGTTTGGCTTCTCTAAAATAAAATGTGAATAGGATCATTTGTTTTAAACCCAAGCGCAGACACAGTACTCAGAGTCGGAACAGGAAGAAGCAAGAAGATTTATTTCTACAAATACTTAAAGTGCTGTGGGAGGGCAGAGTCCGGGGTTTCAGGGGGGCAAGTCCAAGGAGGCTGGGCAGAGAGGGGGAATCAGACAATATGTTTGTCCAGAGAGGGTGTCCAGGATCCACATTGGGCAGCAGCGACAGGAGTCAGGTCCAGGAAAATGCAAAAACACAAGAGACAAAGTTTGTAATACAATAAGAAGAACAAACTAAGAAGCTTGGCGCGATGAACTCGAGAGCCCAGGATCTGGCAATGAGTAGAAGGGAAGTCCAGGTAGCCTATATATGGCAGAGGTGATTGCAGCTGATGATATGCAGCTGGTCTCCTGACTCCGGCACACCTGACTGCGCTCCTGAAATCAATGCTGCGTTGCAGACACCTCGGACATCTGAGATATCCCAGTAGAAATTTCTGACTTCTGACCGTTATAATGAAAACAAGTGGCATAAATAGCTTATACGTTTACTGTGGACACTTCCATCGGTTGGTAATCTGCAAAACTCTGTAAACCATTTTTAACATTTTCTTGAATAACTTTCGTGCAGAGAAGACAACTTTCAGAGATTGTTTACTGTAACCAGCTACCTAATATATTTCTACATCACTTTACATGCAGAGCAGGTTCTTCTGCTATATGATGGTATGTATTTTAATTAAATACAGGCAAACATACTTTATGTTGCCTTTTATTTTATAGTTTACCACTTACAGTGTGTGCTTCCATGGGACTTGCCATTGTTGTGTGACGTCGTTCAGCTGCTTCTCGCGGGTACGTATCTTTTCTCTGAGTTCACAAGTAGGAACTCCGACTTCAAGTGGCGTCCCTTTCTAGTTGGAGGATGGAAATTTCCGAGTTGCCTGAAATGCAGCACACAGACACAAGCACAGTGAGGTGATGGGAGGAAGGGAGAGACATACTGCAATTCAGGAACAGCAGCCCTGACAATCACGGTGTTAAACTTGAATTGAAAACTTGCAATTATGTTCCGTAAAACCGTGAAACATTTGTAAAAACATAAAAGTCTGTGCAAGAAAACGCATTATTTACAGATTTAAAATATCGTACTCTATTAGAATTATATTAGAAGGCATATAATCCAAGAAGAAAGAACCCCATATAACATGTTTCTAGTTTATTTTTTTTACTTACAATAACTTTTGTTTTCCCAACTGCTTTTCACATTTTTATACTAACTGCAAATGTTTGAGCTGCACATATGTTTGTCTGCAATATGTGTTTAACGATGACACTAATAAACCTTTGTTACTGATTGATGTTAACAGCTCGTTCTGTGCCGGTCTAACCACAACACTTTGTGACTTTGTGTGTGTGTTAGTGACATTTATCATGTCTGAAATGAATCAGCTCAGATGTCTCCCACAGTCATGCTGGATATCAGTTTGTGTTAGTTTATATTGACACTGATGTCGTCTCATTAAACCACTGTGTGTGTACAGGATACATCCTGTAACTGACAGCATCAGGTTTAATGACATTAATGACGGTACTTGTATCATTGGCTCTGACAAACAGCCAACATTAATTTGTCATTAAATACAGTGGGACTATTGTTACAGATGTTATGGCTGCAGGACAGAATCAGTCCACAGCAGTGGTGGGTAGTAACAAAGTCCTTAAGTACAAGTTAGAGGTATTTGTACTTTACTTGAGTATGTTTTGAGGTAAACTTCACCTCATCTGACAGCCTCAGTTACTTTACAAAGTAAGATTTCTACAACTAGTACATTTTATTTGGCAACTATTTTGATTGTTTAAAGAGGTGGTATTCGGCTCATTTTCAGGTTCAAAATCTTATTCAGAGGTTGTACCAGAACAGGTTTACATGGTTTAATTTTCAAAAAACACCATATTTTTTTGTCATACTGCACATTGCTGCAGCTCCTCTTTTCACCCTGTGTTGAAGGCTTCGTTTTAGCTGTGGAGTGATGCATCTTGTCTCTAAATGATCTTTGTTGGGAGTTGCACATGTGCAGTTCCTAGTTAAGGACTACTAGCCAATCAGAAGCAGAGAAGGGCGGGTCAGCGAGAAGCAAACACGCTTCAGTTCAGCTGTACATGTTGCCGACCAGCTTGGCAACATGGACTGGAGCGAGAGTTTCAGAGCGGTGAGTTATTAATCTGTAACAAAAGTATCTTTCATCCATAAAGTTTTAACTGAGCTCTGTCTCTACATCACAGTAACAACTTTATGTCCACTGACTGCCTGGAGGGTAGCTGGTGTTTGGAAGGGAGAGGAGAGCTGTGTGCTGCAGCTCTAGGTTTTTCCACCGATGTTTCTGAGGGCGTGTCGGAGTAGCCGCTCTGCGAGCATTATATGAGGCGCATTTAGCTCAAAAAAGGGGAAGCTGCTGGACTACAAACGAGCTGTTTTCAGTTCAGAGCAGAGTGTTCTGTGGAAGATGGGAACTCCCTTTGGGCTGGACTTTGGGCTTTTTCGCTTTGCAAACCTGTTACATGCACAAAAAAGGTTTATAACTCAATAAAGGAGAGGGAAAAAGCCAAAAAGCAGAATACCACCTCTTTAAGTCATTTTTCAAGTAGAAACATTTCATGGTTCCTGCTTTTCTGAAGATTTGCTGCTTTCCCTTTTGATTATTTTATGTTTTTATATTAATGTATATTTAATTATTTTTGACTGACAAAACAAGCATTGTGAAGGTGTCATTTTGGGCTCTGGACAATTGTGACAACATTTCTCACTATTTTCAGAATTTTTAAAATCGATTAATGGAGAAAATACTCCATGATGAAAATAATCATTAACTGCAGTTTGATACAAAAAAGTTCAACCTCAAACGACTAAACAATAAAATCCTGCTTTTACATGAATGCATAAGTCATAATAATCTCATGATATAATATAATAGTATAACAGTCACAGGGGGCATTTTTCATTCTGCATTGAGTACTTTTGATGCTTTAAGAACATATTCCTGATTATATTTATGTACTCTTACTTAAGTAAAAATTTCAAAAGTTTCAATGCAGTACTTTTATTTGTAGCAGTTTTTTGTTTGTTTTACAGTTTACAGAGTATTAGTATTTTTTTTACTTAGGATCTGAATGCTTCATCCACCACTGGTTCACAGGTGACATTTGATAAAACCATATAATATAACCAGTGGAGGACTAGTATTAAGTATTCAGCTCTTTTACTTCAGTAAAAGTACTAATACCACACTGTAAAAGTACTCTGTTACATATAAAATTCCTGCATTAAAAATGTTACTAGAGTAAACGTATGTCAGTAGGAAAATGTATTTAAAGTATTAAAAGTAAAAGTACTCATTGCAGACAGAAAGATGTCCTCTGTGACTGTAATATATATTAGATTATTATTATTATTTATGCATTAATGTAAAGCATTTTCAATGCAGTACTTTTACTTGTAACTGAGTATTTTCACAGTGAGGTATTAGTACTTTACCACCACTACAGGTGACATTAGTTCCACCACTGCCTCCATTATTTCATATCTTAACAGTTGAATGTGACGTTTTATTCAAATGAGCTAATATTGTGTAACAGATGCACTCATTTGTTTATCGGATGGGACACCCTGCTCGACAAAAGTGAGAGTGCATTGTAATGTTTAATTCTGATCATTCGTAGGAGGAGTGAGTGAGGATGGCTGATCCGTCTGACACGCAGGAGATTCCTCTTTGATCCCTGACCGACCATCATCAGCCGGCTGCTCAACCTCTGCTGACTTCATCTAGCAAAGCTTCTTTAGTCCTTTAAGTCACAGGTGGGATTGTTTCCCCAGTCCCAGTTTGGCATGACGGCAACATCATCGGTTGGTTAATAAACCCATATTCTTTCATTTTTTTCCCCTCTCTCAATGTTTCTGCTGCATCCTCTTCATTTCCAATGTTGATGCTAAGTTCTGTGCAACCTTCGCTCTGCAGTCTTTGTAAGACATATATTACCCTTTAAACATTTGACTCATTGTCCTCTTACTGATGGAAATAACTTATCACTGTTAATCTAAGATTAACGTGGTTAACTTTAACATCAGTATGTTATTCCAGAATCCGAAATCACCTGCACTTGCACACAATCAGTGTCTACCCGCTAAGCTCCCTTGAGAACAGGTGGCATTTTCTTTTCACTGAAGACTCAAAGAGAAAAGTTTCAGGCTGAACTCGTCCTCTGTTAAAGATTAAGCTTGTTCAAAGTGGTGAAGGACAAATTTGAGGTATTTTCATTTTATGCCACTTTTCTTCGAATCCACCACGTCTCAGAGGGAGATATTGTACTTTTTCCTGCACTACATTCATCTGACCGCTTTAATCACTAGTTACTTTTTAAGATTACAATCGTTCATAGCTTTCCTGTCCAGTGAAAACCATGTATCTCCAAATGTGCTGCTTTTGAATTTGAATGTTTCTGATGAACTGGAGGATGAAGTGTTTCTTTTAAGGTTTGAGAAAATTATCCTACTTCTTAAACTAAATAAAATATAAAAAACAAACGTAGATCAGCTGGAAACAGTGCTGTTGCGTGGTTCTCACATGGCAGCGACGCCACAAACACTTGATGACCTTATAGACCATGATGCATTGCTGTAGATTATCTATCTAAATAATCTAATTGATATATTATTATTTATTACCAGAACCTCTGACCTCATGCCTAAAACACATTCGCTATTCTTACAGAGATCCTGGACATTCATTTAAGCAAATAAAAGAATCTGATATTTACGTGATCGCTTGTGGAAAACTTATTCCATTCAGGATGTTATCGCCGCAAACTGAAATTATGAGTAATGACAGATTGACAACATGTTTGTGTCTGATGGTTGCTGACAAATAAAACAGGCCGTAAAGACACACAGGAGGTTTGAGGAGTCACACGCTTTATTGAACCTTTTCGTTTGGCAATAATAAATGACTGAAACTCAAGGCAAGTAAACTAAGAAATAAACAGAACCAGAATAAATGACGCTAGTGAGGAAAAGCCGTTTATATGAGTGCATACAGAATATTCTAGGAAGCAGTGTGAGGTGTCCCCCAGTGTCACACCTGACAAGAGAAGATCATAAATGTTAAATAACGTTATGGCTAAATGCATTTCCACTGTCTTCTAAAAACTAAAAGTAGTGTTATGTTGTTGTGGAATAATAAAGTATCTTGAAACAGGAACAAAACCAGGTATGGATGTGGATCCAAGACCCCCGAATGCAATGAAATCAGAGGGCAAACGGTAAAATGTGCTATCTCACAGTATATCTAACACACTAACATAATGACATGCTGAACGTTCCCTGCTTTTGACGTACAGGAGCAGTTTTTATTGTGTATTCAATACATCTCATCAGAATCAGAATCTCATCAGACATCACAGCTCCAAGAGTTTTGTTTTTAAAGGATATGTTAGTATCTTTTCCAGTCTACAACAGTCGCATGCCAAATGTACATCGAAGCGGTTGTTGCTCGCTGTGATCGTTCCTCGTCTCTCGCCCTGAAGGGATCCTTTCCTCGTGTGGCCACAACAGAAGAGCCGGGGGACAAAATACATTCTGTGCAAATGTGAGGCGACCATAGTTAGAATCTAGAATGAGATTCACTTCGCATTAGAGCTGCGACGATTAATCAATTAATAAATTACTATAAACTTAGTCTGCAACTATTTCGATAATCGATTTGAGTCATTTTTTAAGACAAATTCTCTGATGTGAATATTTTCTCATTTCTTTCCTCGTCTACGACAGTTATCTGAATATCTTTGGGTTGTGGACAAAATAAGACTTTTTATAACATTTGAGAGCATTTAATAGTTTAAACAACTAATCAACAGATTAATCTACAACGAAAGCGATCATCCCTACTTGCATGTAGTTTGTAGTAGCATAGATTATGCACAGGATCGGTATACACAAGTCTGAGACACAACCGTAGATTCTTTCTTTGTTTTATTTTGGGTTTTTTTCATGCATCTGGTCGGCAGAGGTCCAACCTCCAGCAGCGACCGAGCTTCTCTTTGCTGTGTACACGATATGAGCTAATAGAGGACTCTTTCCTGTTCCTGACATTCGCTTCTATCTAAAAACTTTTGTTTTATGAGTCAGATATTTCACTAAATAAGATGTGCGCTAGGTTGTTTGAGAAACAATGACAAACTCATGCCTCGGCCTCGATGTTGCAACATAATTTAAAAGACACAGCAACATTTCAGAAGCAACAACACAACTCTGAAGGTTTTTTCACACAAAATCAAGATGGAAGATGCAAATTTAACTTCCTTACACACCCGTGTCTGGGCAAAGACAGCTATGTGATTTGGCTAACTCACACTGCTGAAGAGGGTTGGTTTTACAGCCAGCGAGAAGAGGAGGAAAATAGCGACCAACAACTTCTTTGAAGTACTTATGAAATGCAGCGTAAGATAGACTAGGAAAAAATTCAAACCTAACCTCTCAACATATAGGGCAGAAAATATAGACCACATTAAATGGCACAGCTTCGGGTTTCACAATGACTCACAGCTCAAATGTAGTTGTAGATCCTTTGTAGTATATTTTATACTGTAACATAGTAGTTTAAACACACTACAGCTTATAGCACAATCAAAATAATGTGATGCTAAACTGAAACTGCAGCTGTTAGCATCCCATTCACCTGGTGTTATTTCACCTTGGCAGTTAAAAATCATCCCATTTCTGAGTTTACTTGAATGCACCTTTATTCCACACACAGTCAAACTGAGTTTAATGGAAACCAGTGAGTGAGCGAGCTCTGGAGCAGTAGAAGCCCAACTTAAAGTAAGGTAAGCTCCGACCAGCTGATTCATGGAGGATGGGCTATAAAACATACACTCATACACACATGCACGAACTCTTCTTCTAAAAAACAGTTTGAAATAGTCATTCTGACACAATATATTATAAACCTCTTAGAAATAAAGGCTGTAAGGATTTATAAGCATTGCTCATTCATAAATATATGCAGCAAAAATACGATACCATAAATCTCTTTTTAGGAATCAGGACAGGACATAAAAATATGTAAAAATCTTCACTAGACTTTAGGATTAAAATATCTGATTTGTTCAGAAGTGCTCAAGTTATTTTGCTGAAACAGCAGAGCCACAGATTGACAGAGTTTGGCCAGGTTGTATCAATAAAAAAACAAAAAAAATTGTCTGGACCATATGCACCATGCTAACGCGTCTAATGCTAAAACAATTGAATGTTCGCTTTGAGTAATTCACATAAATTTGACAGCTGGAGTGTTTTTACAGTCTGTTAAGATATGTCATGTCGCCCATCTTTATGGACGACATGACAGCGACCCAAAGTGAAGCCAGAACTTCTTGCACGCCTCTGATGGCTGGCTATGATTCATAAATAGGGGTGAGACGAGATAGTAATCAAGGGAACACACGCTCTCGCCGTGAGTCCAGACCATTTGTGAGCGAGTGGTGGCGTAGCTGGTAGAGTTTTGCAATATAACCATCTAAAAACTGATGTGCAGCCTCGCTCGGTTTGTAACTGTGAGCTGCACTTCAGTGTGTGGATTTGTGGTGAGATTTCTAACTGATCATAAATGTTTGAAGGGGATACTACCAGCGGAGCAATAACTTAATGCACAGCAGAGTTTAGGGCAGGTAGAAAATATTGTGAATTCTCATTAAGTAATTAAACTTTTTTCTGCACATCTCAGAGAACACAGATATGTGGGAGAGATTCTGAATGTGCAGAGAGTTTTTAACATGAAACACAGGAGCTATTAAAGTCCAGGAGTTTAAAACTGATTAATTTATAACTGAAGTGAAAAGATGCCACATGTACATTTCAAGAGGTTACTTCCCCAAACAAAGACACAACAGAGGAGGGAAGATTAAACCATGGCTGCATGTGTGATGTTTATTCAAGTGTTCATATTTCAAGTTTGGTATTATTAGCTGAGCCCTGCTCATGACTGAGTCGGCCAGGTGTATGTGATGGCAGCAACTGTGTGTCGTCCATCTTTATATGAAGTCTATGGTAAAGACGTTAGCTGTGAGCTAGCTAGGTTCAGTGGTGACATTTTTACTTGCACAAAAGTCTCCTCCTCAGTTCGCGCTGCCTCAAGTGAATTTGCACCCACTCAGTGGGAAACTGAAAGATGAGTTCCGTATAAAAAGTATTTTAGAGCAGACGAGAACAACAAACGAACAAAAGATGTTAGAGTGCCCGTTTAGCTCAGTCAGTAGTGCACAGGCCTCTTGGTAGGAGGGTTGTGTGTTTGATCCCCACATTGTGCAAAATATTTACTCTCCCTCTTCAACAAATTGATTACAAAGAGACTGTTTCACATGCTCACGATAAAGCATGTGCTGGTGCGTGTGCATCCCAGCGATTGGTCCACATCCAAAAACTTATTTTTCAAGGTGCCAGTTTTGGCCCACTGGGATAGACTATTAAGACGGAGAGATTTATATGAAGGAAAGCCTCCTGCTCGCTCACTCAGCCTGTCTTCACGTTATGTTTTACTACCCGGCAGAGAATGGGCCAATGACAGCGTCGTGCCTGACAGCAGGGGACAGGACTTCTTCTCCCAGTCCAGTATGTGGGCATTAGGCCAGTATGTCATATCTTAGGATAAGTCTACTAAACTGAGCGGTAATGCAGGTGTAAGACCCGTCATTTTGGACAGAAAAAGCCTTAGATCGCTACCAAAGCGACATATTTTAAAAATAAGATTTATTTATTTTATGCAATAGCCTCAGAAAATCTAAATAATAACAACAAAAATCTTTGAGGCTACAATAAATTTGCTCTTTCCACTTTGTTTACATGACATACACTAAACTGCCCCCCGATCCAGAACTCTTATCTGGGTTACAACTGACCTCCTCCAAATAAGAAGCAAAGGCTTTTGTCTGTGCAGCTGTGACCCAAATGGTTTTCAGTTAGCAGCTAGCACTGTTTAGCCAACATGGCTGACACGGAAACCTGGGACATCCAAACTCTTTTGATCAGTGGCTCATTATAACGTTCCACTAAGGCGGTGATTTTCAAAGTCTGGGTTGGCACTTTTAAGATACATGAATTGAACACAACATGCTAAATTATTTTGCATAAACCTTCTCAAATCTCTGTAGCTGCAGTATTTTAAAATAATCAACGTAATGCTGTTAGTTACTTTAAAATATATAGAGACAAAATTCACATCTTAAATTATTTCACTGCCCAGAAAAAAGTCTGAAAATCACTGCATTACAGTCAGTCATTAAAAACAAAATCAATAAATATCATTGAACAGTTATAGGCTACTAGTACCATAATAACATCTAGAAATTAAAGTGGTGTAAATATTAAAAGGACAATATTGCAGATTTTGCCAAGTGCTTCCAAAGGTTACTATAATATGAGCCACAAACTGTGGTATTATTATGATTGCAATTTTACACTCAGTTATTATTGTGATGCACCTCATGTGCCTTGGAAGTCAACAAAAGTTATTATAAAATGTCATTTTTGACATGTCAACATGTTTACACTGTTTCAGACATTGTGCAAAAGAGCAGTTTGACTTTGAAAGCAGTAATCATGAAAACCCAAACTATCTTAGGGCCCCTTCACCTGAAAGTCTGCACCAAGGTCCGAACCAAAGTTCATGTTTTAACACATTTGGTTAGTTTGGTTTCAAATTGCAATTACGCGAGCGCACTACAAAACGCTGCGTGACATACTCGCGTCCTGTCGTCATCATCTATGTGGGCTGGGTCTCGCTATACTTTGATCGGTTTGTAAACGGACGTGCGTCTGACGTCAGCGTGTTGTCAGTTCAGCTTTGACAAGGATGAATGAAGAGATGCAGATTGTTGCCATTTTATAGTTCAAATTCGCCAAATGATTGTCCTTTTTGTGTGAACATTATATCATCACTGGCAGGGGGGAAGGAGAAGATTGCAAGCAAATATTCGAGCCCTGTCACGTACGTTTGGGGAGAGACCAAAGAGATGAGTGTCAATTTCCTTTCATAGTCTTACAAAAGTTTAGCTTTCACGGGCGATTTATAATTGTGTCATTATTTCAATGTATTTCTCTGTGCATTTGTTTGTTTCCGGTTTGGACAGAAACCACCAGAACTTCCTGTAAATGGTCTGACAGTGTAGAAACGAACCGAACCACGGTTCAGTTTGATCTGGAGTCTTTTCATCTGAACAAATTTTGTCTGTTTGGTGCGGACCGTGGTCTGGGGGAGGTTTCACGCCTGTAATTTTTGTTCAAATCAAACTGAAAACGGAAGGTGTGAAAGCCCCCTTTATCTCTGAAACCAAGCTTACTGAAACAAAACAGTCCTTTTCTCACTTGGCGTCCCACAGAAAACAGTTCAGAACTGGTTCTAACCCACAGTTTAGACAAACATGGCAATAGACAACGGCTTCGGACAGACAGGACTGTGTGAGTTTTCTGGACAGAAGGAAGAAGAAACATAGGCGTTACATTTCATTTTGGCTTTTTTTAAATGGCTGACAGTTGAGTGCTGTCGGTGCTCACTCCTTCTTCTGATTGGCTAATAGGGAGGCCTCCCATCGCTGCGCCATGGTGTTCTGTCGTCGTGGCACTGAAGAGAGGGAAGGGGGGAACTGGAGGGAGGGGGAGATTCAGCTAAACCACTGGAGCCAAGATGGATGGACAGTTTCATGGTTGGATGGATGATGGACGGATGGGGCAAAGGAGAAATGATCAGAGGAGGGGATGTATAGGAAGCATTAGACAGATGGATGCAAGAGTGACGGATAGATGAAAAAATACTTTTTTGCACAATTGTGAACTAATGGATTAAAAATCAATTCAACTGATTGACAAATCATAAAGTTCACAATTAATAAAAGGAAACAAATGAATGGATGAGTACAGGGAGAGATTAATTACCCAACATGGAAAATGCAAAACGGAAAAAAACAGAAAAATTTGAATATGATTTTCATGCTATGCACTGATAGGTGAAGCAATCCAACATAGAGTAGCAGCAGTGTAACCTGCAGAAAACAGTCCAGAAGTCGTAATATTGCTAATATCAGGAAGGACATTCAATGTTTAAGTGAATATTACTGTAAGGGAATAGAATAAAATTAGAAAGTTAGATGTTTCCTCATTGGTTTCCTGTACATGTGATTACAGCTGTAAAAAAGTCAGTATTTCTATGTAAACAAAGGAGCGTTTTGCCATTGAACACATTCACCATAACAACTAATATCACTGTAAGTTTCTTTATTTTATAACATTTGTTACTCTTTCATTCTTGTGTTTATTTTGTATTTTGGTGCAGCTTCCGCATTGGAACTCTTATTTTGAAGGTTTGAAGGAAGCTGTAAAAGGTGTAAAAAATAAACGAGTGCGGACGGCGGAGCAACACGGTTGTTTTACCGTCGTTGGTTCTCTCCGGGCAACTCTTTTTTTTTTTTTTTTTTTACGGTGTTTTATTGCGATTGTTATTTTCTGGAACTGTTTTTAACCCCTTGTTGTTGTAGCACTTTGAGATTTCCCTGAAATGTAAAGTGCATTATAAATAAAATTTATTATTATTATTAAACTCGACGCGTAATACTGACTTACGCCGTTTGGTTGAAGTTTAGTTGAAGTTTATGATTGCGATAGTCACAACAATCACCTTGTCACTGTATTCAAATATCAGTGAATGCAGCTTTAAGGTTGTTCAGCAGACTTGTTAGTTCCCTGATGAAGAAGCTTCTTGTAGGCAAACTTTGAAGGTTTTATATTGGGTTTTATGAATAAAACGGGCTTGACTTTTATTAAACATGACTACTATCAATGTGTTTACGTGCCCTTAAGTAACGGGTTACATTTTTCCTTCTCCAGTAAGCGGATTTCTTAAATGTAACGAGAAACCCACTTTCCATAATTGGGTTAGCGGATTAGCGTTCGCGTTTCCATCAACATATTTTTATGCACATTTTAGACTTTCGCATTAGAAAAGGTTGCTGGAAATGACAGATTTGCAAAAAGGCTTTTATGCTCACATGAGGTGGCTTTTGCGGAGTTAATGCACTAAATGGGAGATGGAAACTTGCCAAATAAGTTCTGACGTTTAACATTTACAACCTGCCCAATTCAAACACATTCCTGAAGAACTCTTTTTCTCAGATCCTCAGGTCCATTTGATTGGTTGTGTTTTCTGGTTTGCAACCTGTTTATTGTTTCTTACAGCCATGTGTAACATCAACTTCTGACGTTACTACGCTTTGGTTAGCCTGGTTTATTCGCTCCAAACCAGTTCTTGGAAACGCGCCTAATTAGCATTATTCTTTTTTGCGACATTTTAAAAGTTCGCTTCAAATTTGCTTGACAATTAGATGGAAACACGGCTAGTGAGATAGAGGTAGATTCAGAACTCTTACTGGCTTTTTACAAATATGAATGTGCATGACAAGAGACTGCAGATCGGGAAAGTAACAGTAGAGCGTGTGGATGAACGGAGCAATTTCTAATCTTTGTATTTAAACTCCAACTGAAACTGAAACTACCACAAATTTGCCTTCAGATGTGCAAATACGTTTCCACCACTAAACATTTAACATTTTGTTAAATTCAGTCAGAGCTACCCTGTCTGTCTGTCCTAGACCGGCTCCACGGTGAAGCTATTAACAATTATTAGCTATTAACGACTTTTATTTGGTTAGGTTTAGAGAAAGATCATGGTTTGGCTTAAAATAACATCACTTACATGACTTAACTTACGTAAGTTAAGTAAGTACCCTAAATAAAAACTTTCAATGTGGACTTTTTGTTTCACAAAGGGAACAAATACTGGTCTCCTGGGTAAAAGTCCGGTTTCCGGCCCATCCATCAACCCCAACCACCTTTTAAACTCTGACTTTACTCTTAGATATCCTACACCTACCTTTAGCGTTCAAAAATCACACTTTAGGGCTTCCCAAGTGCGCTGAACTATGATGCTAACGGTCTCCCTAGTGGGTTACAAACTGACGCCTACGGGTCTTGACCATGTGTCCATATGTGTTGACTTGGGAGTGAGAACCTGTGGTCTAATACTAATACAGTTCAATAAGAAAGTACCGACCTGCTGCATGTATAGATGGATTTACAGTATCCAGGTTATTAGAGTGCATGTAAACATGGTTACCTGAGTAATCTGGTCTCTCTCAGTAACTTTGTTACTTAAGTGCATGAAAAGACACTGCATGAATGTTTCAATCAGAGAGTGTGAGAGTGTGAGAGTGACTCAATGAAGAGGTAAAAAGCTACATGTGGGAGTGAACTTCAAACAAACCCTAAGACCTGCAGGGTAATGCGCTTTACTTTATGATGTCTGTGTTTGAGACATGTTTCACCTCTAAACAAGTGTTTTAGCCAAGGTGATGTATTTTGTTTACGAATTGTGGATCTAGATATAGTTTTCAGGCTTTTTATTTACTTCCATAGATAGATAGATAGATAGATAGTTTGTGTGTCAGCCAACCTTGTGGTCACAAGACAAACTGGATCGTTCCATTTTGCGGGTCCTGGAGGGGGACGAAGGAGAGGAGACACATCTGTCTGGAACCTCTGGCACTGAAATAAAAGAGAATTCAATCACACATTTAATAAGATTATCATAAATGTATTTTTCATCCTACAAACTGTGGCCAATAATGTAAAGTGTTCTGCCCAAAAATGGTTGATTGATTGTGAATAGTGAAAACACACAACCATATGCAAACCTTTTTAATTATAACTGACACTAACTGATCGTACCCCTTCATCCCTCCCCTCTCGACCTGGCTTCTGTTTTTTTATTTCATTTGACAACTAAGAATTTTTAAGAGAATACATTATGTACATAGGCTGCGTACACGTTGGAAATAAAATATAAAAAGCTGATCTTTATACGAGTTCCATCAATTGCACCTACTGCTCCTGTGAAGCCGGCTATTTGCGTGAACTGTGTTTGCTTCTGTCAGATTACGGGAGGTGTTGGGAAGTCGATGAAATGCGTGACAATGTGTGGAGCTTTAAGTCTCATAATTGTTTCCATGACAATTCGGCTTATTGATGGTTGTGAACGGGCCAAAATCATCAGCATCGCTGCGTTTGTCCTGTGGCAAATTAACAAAGCGTCATCGCAACTTTCAGTTTAGCTGAAAACGTGGTGCTGCGCAAAGTCAGTGGTGAGATGACGTCCCTCACCAACTCGCTGACAAAGATTATGCCTGCGCTCTCCGACTCCGTCTAATTAAGTGCACACTCAATAATTCAGAAACATTCTTGCTCTCCTGAAATATTCTGCACGTCTCCATCACAAGCACCTGCTGGCTTAACCACCCGAGAGACCTCTGGAGCTGTCATAAATAACTGGGAGAGTAAGAGTGATTCTTAGCTTTAAGAAATTTGATAACTTGCTTTTATACTAAAGTTTGAAATTACGAATAAATTACATGAATTCTCAATACTTAATTTTAAAATGGCACTTTGAGAAGCTTGATAAAAACCGGCCCAGAACACTTTGCCTCTGTTGTCTTCTGTGTTCCTGCTACCCCATTTGCAGTCACTGGGTGATCCTTAATCCCTCCCCTCCAACGCTTCATCCTATCCTTCCCCAACACTCTGAAATCATTTGAGCTGAACTCCAACACGACAGAAATGTTTCTACGGTGTTCCCTTCCCCACAAATGTTTCAAAGTGGGCACGACTCTACGTACCGTTGTAACTGATGTTATCGTTCAGGCCCGGAGACACCAGCACAGTATCATACCTCTCTCTCCCTCTCCTCCACTCCTCCTCCCTCCTCTTCCTCCACATCTCATCCCTCTGCCTCCTCCACTCCTCCTCCCTCTGCCTCACCATGCGGATCTCTTGCTCCACCAGTGACTGGCTGCTGAGGGAGCGCAGCTTAAAAAACGGATTGGACGAGAAAGTGCTCTCCTGCGTTTCCATTGACGCCGGCGCTGAGCTTAGGCAGAACTCAGACGCGCTGCGGATGATCAGATTGGAGGTTTCCACGACGATGACATTGGCAGAAGGCACCGCATCCAGGCTTGTTGGCCAATCGGAGAGGCCCCCGATGGCAGAGGAGAGTAGGCGGTTCCTGGAGGAGGAACTGGAGCAGTCGGGCTCCAGGATTATGACATTATTGGCTGTCATTTCATGGTAGAGAGACCGGGGAAGGGAAGAGGAGCAGGAAGGAGATGGGGAGATGGACAAGGTAGGGGTGCGGCAAGCTGGAGGTCTGGGTGGAGATCGTCCTGTCTGCAGAGTGGACGGTCTGAAACAGAACAACAGAAAAAAAACAATGAACAAGTTTCATTTGGGCTCAGATCTCACTCACTCATCAAATACAGCTGCTTGGTCAGTGGCCCTACGTCTGTGTACTGAAGATACTACGATGAGACAAGATTTTATGAAATTTTTATTTATTTCCTGCATTCTGGTGAATTTTTGCTGCACCAAATCCTGGTGGAAATGTTTAAAACTTAAACAACAGGGGAACAAATACTCTGGACCACGTCTACAAAAATATTCCTCCCAGACCATATTTCTTTGTTTCTCCTTCTTACACCCGGCTGAATATAAGGGTCAAACCAACAGTAAAATCAGTCGCAGTGTGGACAGATGAGGCGGCAGCAGCAGACTATTTTGAGTGCACAGACTGGCATATGTTCAGAGAGGCCGCCACCCAGAAGAACCCATCAATATTGAGGAATTTACATCATCAGGGACATCATACATCAGCAAATGTGTTGATGATGTGGTGATCACTGAGACATTAAAAGCCTTCCCCAACAGTGTTGGGGGCGTTACAAAGTAAAGCATTACTGTAATCAGATTACTTTTGTCTGTAACGCAGTAATGTGGCAGTTATTGTGCATCGCAGGTTATGTTACGCAGTAATCCAAAAGTAATGTAACTAGTTACTTTCAGCAGTGAGTAATCTAGTAAAGAAAGGCATTACTTTTAAAAGTAATAATGTGTACTATATTACCTTTTTTTGAGTAACTACCCCATCCCTGTTCCCCAACTAGAAGGCCTGATGAATGGAGACAAAACAGCTGCCTTCGGTCAGGTGACGAGGAAGCATACAACACTGCCAGATCAAGATTGAAAGCTGGCATGAAGGAGGCGAAACAGAGACCTCGCAGAGACTGGAGAGAGAATTCAACACCAACCACACCTGATATGTGGCAGGCCATCAAAAACTTCACTGGCACATTACCAGATGACCTGTAAAGTCTGCTCCACCTCCAGAGGAATATGAGTAAAGCTGCAGGGCCTGATAGCCTCCCTGGCCGTGTACTAAAAACTAGGGATGCAGCTAGTATTCTACCGATAATTCCATCCCTTCATCGAGTAATCAGAAGAAATACTTTTGGAAAGGTACCATGAAAAGTGCAACGAGATAACTTTTGTTAAGATTTGGCACTACATAAATAAAATTGAATTGGTGCACAGATTGGTCCTATATTTTGACCGATCCAACCACCCCAACCTCCTCCCTACGCTGACTTGTCTCGCTCATATTACTATGTCACCTGTCAAAATCATAACGCTAGACAGGTGTGTCCACAAATGAGAATGGTCTGGTGTATCTGGTTCCCAGTACAAGGAAACAATTTGCAGTAATACAGCTTTTTGAATTCTGATACTGTACAATCCTATATTTTTATTTTTAGTTCAATGTGTCTTTAAACTGCACTTAGTGGCACCATAAGTGGAAATGACTGTGGCCCAGATTTACTAAAAAAGGTTTGCGTGAGTAAAAACGTGTGCAAACTTGATATCACCAGCAAATTAGCACGTAAGCTGATCTACTAACGGTGTGCACGCAGAATGACGTCTTTCAAAAGGGCAAGATGGCACCTGCTGTTCATTTACTACTTTTACCTTAATGAATATCCAATTTGGGGCGTATCAATTTTATTGTGTAAAGTAACACTCCTAATCTTTAACATGCACTAACTTCTTCTTCTATCCTCTTACAATTCTCTTGCATTAATTGCAGTTTTTTGTTAACTCTTACTTCTTTCCGTAGGTATTTACCCCATTGAAGTGATATGTGCTATTAGCTCTTACTAGTATTTATTAGTGCTCTTATTAGAATGTATAGTCAGTTGTAGATCTCTAGAGCTGTATTGATGCTCTGTTGATGCTTGTCTGCTGTTCCTTAAATGTAAGTCGCTTCGGATAAAAGCGTTTGCCAAATGGATAAATGTAAATGTAATGGAAGGGTAACATGCAAATACACTTATTTACTACACGCAATGTGATCTAACAACAATTTCACGTGAGTGCATCAGCTTCTGTATTTAATACGCTTGAAAGGAAGGTGCAAACCGCCAAGTGTTGTGCAGAGATGGCTGCTGTTATCGTTGCCAGAAGGAGACACAGCCGTAATGAAAGAAGACGTAGAGAAATTAACAATATTAGATAATATTATTCTATATACAATGTATTGAAATACAATTATTTTATTTATTTGATGAACTATATGAATTGAAATGTTTGTTTTTTTGTATTTTCCTTCAGCTTTGGCAAAACTGTTGTTTTAACATTCACGCCAAAAAAGCAAATTTTGTTTCGACCTGACTTCTTTTCTCTGTGAGATGGAAGAGTTTAGAAAGTTGCGTGGCGATCCAGCCAGAGGGAACGATCACCAACTGTTCACAGCGCGCCGGTCGTACTAGCGACACAACCCATTGTAGGTATCAGAGAGGGAATGGGGCGTACGGGAACAGGAGATCGCGGAGCGACAGGGCACGGTGCAGACGGTCGGTGATTGTTCCCTCTGACTGGATGAAGCACGATCTGGCATTTCCTCACGTCTGGGTCCTTCCAGCATACTGTAGCTGTTTCTGCTGGGGTTTCCCAAAGCAGTTCTCCAGGTTTGTTGTCCCAAGTACTTAATGCAATCTCAGGCAGGATGGGCAGGTACATACGATTTGATCTGAAACAAACCAAGGTTTTTACGCAGTTGCTGCTTTCCCTCCCGACTCTCCAGGGAGGAAACCATTAAAACACTCAAAACCCTCATTCAAATACGGCCACCTCCATTGTGTTTGCACCTGTTGTCATCTACGCAATAATTCTTAGTTGATCACCCATAACAGGAACAAAAATTGCACGTGCAATATTTCAGAATGCGCAGGCAAAATGGTAATCTTTATTCGGGATGTTAGTAAATCGGGCCCTGAGTGTAACTCTGCAGTTCCCCTGAGCTATATGCGGCATTTTAGCCTCTTTTAGCTCGTGGATTTTTTTTCCCAGCCACTTTCAAGCTGGTTTACAGACACAACAAACAGCTGTTCTCAGCAAAAAACGTTGACAGACAAAGTCAGTGTCCACCTGGTGAACATAGTGGAACATTTAGCCACTAAAGAGCCAGATGTCTTCTTTTAAAAACAGAGCTCAAAGGAATGTGAATATTGGACTAAACTAATATTGTTCTGTCTGTTGGATGTGCAAATTGGCAACTACTGTATTATTAAATGTGGCAATGTTCTGTAATCTATAATGCTCTTCTTACTGCACCAAAATACTGCATTACACTGCTTTGTAGGATTTAATAATAGTTTTTTTGGTTACCTGGGTATAGTCAGGCCCTGTGAAATTATCCCCCTCTCCCTGCGGTGCCTTTCCTCTCTCTCCAGAGTCAGTCGGATCTCTCTCTCCACTGCGGTCTCTGTCTCCTCCAGGGGGCTGCGGTACAACGAGTCATCCAGGCCTGAGTCCTCTGAAGTGGGGGACAGGGTGGAGGACAGTGTGGGCTCCCTGGCCGCTGGTGGATGGATCTCCCTTTGAGAGAACAGGAGGAAACACAAGGTTAAGGTGGACTGAAACTAAAAGCAAACAGGACACATGAGTTGTGTGTGTTTCCATTTTATTGTGCAAGTTTTATAGATGTAGGTGTTTTTTTATGGATCAATTTGTCTCTTCTGATTTACATGTAGATTTTAGGTTTTTATCCACCACTATGGTGATAGAGAGGGGGTTTAAACGTGACAAGGGCCCCTATCTGGATGCAAACCAAGAGTGTTGGCAGTTATGTAAATCCCCAACACCTCTGATATTTCTTCTTTATAAAGAAAGAGTGTAGCTACGGTTGATTGGCATCAACTGCTTTGCTCATGCTTCACAAGTACTGGTGCGTTCATCAGCTGTATGGTTACCAACTGTCTCGTAACATCCAATCATATTCTTCCAGGTATGGTAACGTCCTTAAAGCATCTTCCTATTTTGATATCCCAGCTTTTCAACCTCATCTAAGTATCAAACCTGTTTTCACAATCTGTTCTCCTCAAATCGTCACATATGGACGAATGCTCAAGACCCATCTGCGTCAGTTTGTGACGCACTGGGGATCTCTATAGCGTCATGGTTCAACGCAGTGGGGGAAGCCCTGTAGCGTCAGTTTTTGACGTTAAAGGTAGGTATATGATATTTAACAGAAAAGACTAAGTAAGGAGGAGGTCGGGGTGGATGGAGAGCCAGAACGCAGACTTTGAGAACCAGGAGACCAGTGTTCATGTTCATGTGTGAAACAAAAAGTCAGCATTAAATATTTTTTACCTGAGTTGCATAACATTAGTTAACTTACATGTTAACTGACGTACGTTGTTATTTTAAACCTAACCAAGTACTTTTTCTGCCTAAACCCAACCAAATTGCAACTTTTCACAAGTTTAATAACGTGCCGTTTCAAAATGCCGATGATTTGCAACGCTAGCGTTTTATTTTGAAAGTCTAACCGGACATTGCATATTTATTAATGCTAAGCGTTGCCAACTTGACCGTGGAGCCCTAAACGTCCAAAATGCGACACCAAAGGGCCTTGACCAAGCGTCAATATGTGATGTGAGTTGTGAGTGAGAATGTGTTGGTTTGCAGTAATTTGACTTTTCTCTGAAATTCTGACCTTTCCACACATTTTAAATGTCCATATAACAAGTGGACGTAAATGTACCACACATCTGACATGCAATACTACACAAATTGTCAGCAGTTTTCATTATACCATTGAGCAGCTATTCTTTCAGACATCATCAAATGTCTTGTTTTGTCTGACCAATCTTCCAAAGTCCAAAAAATATATATATTGTTTACTGTCACAAAGGCCAAGAAAAGCAGCAAATCCTCACATTCAAGAAGCTGGAACCAGAGAGTGTTTGCTAGTTTTGCTTAAGTTTCAGCTCGCTAATAAAAACAAACGTTTTGCAATTAAAATCAATTGCTAAGCCAATTATTTGAGTCAATAATAAAGCTTACACAGTATACATTTGTATGCTAAGCTGTTTAATTTAAAAATGCTTAAATGCATAAAAAGAAAAGTAGAACTGTCAGAGCTTCCATTATTTCCTACCTGTGTTTGAGCCGAGGGCTGCGAGTGGGGGGGTACAGGGAAGTGTGGGTGCCCTGGAAGCTCCCCTGGGCTCTGAGCCCTGGTTTGGGAATTGGCTGACCTTTGACTTCTTCCTCCATCTTCCTCCACTGCTGGCGGGCCAACAGAAAGTCCACATGCTCAGTGGAGACATTTTCACTGAGGGTCTCCTGGTGGACATGGAAATCTACAGGAACCTGACGAGAAGGATGACGTTACGGGTTACATGACTTAAGATGTACTGTAGGTGACTGGGAGATTTTTTCAGTCTCAAAACGAACTTTTGCAGGAACCCACCAAACATTTTAATAAAAGATTTCTGGTATTGTGACATCCCTACATGTGAGAATTAATTTGGTCTGAGTAGTGGATACCATTTGAGCGGGAAACATCCGGTCTGAGAACGCGGAAGTCCCTTTAAACCTGCATTCTATCAAACGGCCTGCAGGGGGCGACTCTTCTGTCATCGTGACGTCACCCGTTGGTTTGTGGACTGACGTTTTGAAGCCTCGAGTTTGGCCGATAGGGCGCCGCCATGTTGAGTTTTTGCAACCAGCGGCACCGGACGTGACCATATTTGGACGAGACGGTGGAGCTAACGGACGTGTGCGGAGCTAGCTAGCTTGCTTAGCTAGGTGCATCTGTAATTCACGTTAATTGTCATTTTAACAGGGCTGATAACTCTGTCTAGTGAACAACAGGCTTAAAACTAAACTTACTCACCAGAGAAAGTGAACAGCCGACTCTTAACGAGCTTTTTCAACGGCACTGGTTAAATTTACACAGTGCCGAGAGTACGAGTCGCCTCTCGACAGGTCGCCATGGTAATGACTTGTCAATCAAAGATAGTCCCGCCCTGAAGCAATTCTGGTCTATTTTCCTCTAAATGGGACCATAATTTACTAAATGAACATCATGTTGTGTTGAAGAAGACTTGAAACTAGCGACTGAGACCATAAACTCATCAGGAAAGTGTTTACTGAGGGAATAAATCTTTTAACATTATTTCTAATTGAGCCGGACTTCTTTTTGCCACCAGAGGAGTCGCCCCCTGCTGGCCGTTCAATGGAATGCAGGTTTAACGCACTTCCGCGTCGGCATCCGTTTGCTGACCGCAAGCTTCACGCTTGGTAAAAACCTAAGTTGATGGGGTGTGTTTCTGAAACACTTCCCTTTCAATTTCAGTGGTTTGATTGTCTCCCTGAGCCACACTCATCTTCTTACTTTTCTGTCGCACCTCTGACTCGCTTACATTTTCGATATGATGGTGCGCAACGTGATATTGCAATAACGGTATTGAGTAGGTGAGTGACGAGACACTTCGTTCACGAGACGAGACAAGATTTTAACACTATTTTTAATAAATCTTCAATGCTGAATGATATGAAAAGAAAACACTTCTGGTGATTTTTTGGTGAGGTTTTCTGCTCATTGAGAATCTCTCCCACATATCTGTGTTCTCTGACATGTCCAGAAAAAAGTAATATTACGAGACTAACGTTGACATTTAATGAGAATTCATAATATTGTTTTAAAAGTCTACAGCCCCATACCCTGTTGTGCATTATGTGATTCCTCCGCTGGTTATCACTTGCGGTCAGGTTGAAATCTCACCACAAATGCACACACACATTTAACTTCAGTACCTCTGACTAAATAAAGCTCACAGTCAAACATATCAACCTTGTGCTTCAATTTTCAGATGTTTATATTGTAAAACTCGGTCACAAACTGTCTGCGACTCACAGTGAGAGAGCAGGTTCATTTAATTATTATCACAGTGTATGCTGGTGTTGCATTAGCCACTGGAGTCGACATTATCAATTATACATGTGCAGTGTTGGGCAAGATACTTCCAAAATGTATATAGATTACTAGTTACTATCATTTGACAGTAATTAGTTATATTAAAATATTACTGTCTCTAGTTCTAGTTATGTGCACGGATCGGGCGGTGATGGCATATCACCGTTAAGAAAGACGCTGTGAGCATTTGCACAACAGGTGCAGCAGCATAACATCACTGATTATTTGAATCTCCCGACACTGCGACAGGATTGTTCAGGATGAACTGACAGCAGCCTCTCTGATCGGGAAAGTAATTCCTCAAAGCACAAACATATAACCTATAATCTATTTGCACATGATCCATCAGGGTAGTTTGCAAAAACTCTGCTGCAAAAATGTTTCTCGGTGTTGAAAACAAAACACCACTTCATTTTGGGTTAGAATGTTAAGATATGTTGCAAAGATGCAAAATCTTGGGAGATCTCGTGGCAGGATATCTCGTCACACCTCTAGTACTGAGTCAATATATTGTGCTGCACCCTTGGAGGATAAATGGAATATGTACTTCTTGAAATCAGAGTTTGAGCTCTATGTTGCATAACAAAAGGGGGAGGTCTTACCCTCCTGTTGGGGTCCGTGGAGCTGGCTGTGGAGCTGACAGAAGGAGACCGCAGGAAAAGATCTCGTCTCGACCTCATCTGCTCTTCATCATCGTCCCTCCTCCCCTCCTGCTCCTCCATCTGCTCCTCCGTAATAGTCTTTACTTCTGCCTCATCCTCTTCCTCCCCTCTCTCCTCATCTTCTCCTCCTCTCTCCTCTTCCTTGCTCTCTGCGTCACAGACGCTATCGTGACTCCCTCCGCCTGCTTCTTCCTGGCCGTTGACATCACAGGCCGCAAAGGACGCCCATTGGTCCTCCCCTGCGTCGCTGTCCGAGTACACGATAGCCAGCTCGGCTTGAAGGCAGTCACTGAGGTCGTCTCTGTTGCAGAGGTCGTGACCCCAGGCGTCTTGCAACATGGCCGCTGCAGGCTGCTCTGAGGCGTCTGAGGCGGCGATCAGGGGCTCTGATGATGAGGATGATGAGGGACACACTGGACTGTCAGATACGAAGAGGAGCTCTGTCTCTCCCATCAATCCGTCCTCTTCTTGTGTGTCTCCTCTTCCTCCATCATCGCCCTCTGTTTCTCCACTACCTTCACCCTCTCCCTCTGTTTCTCTTCTCCCCCAATCCCCAATGTCTGTTTTTCCTCTTCCTCCTTCTTCTTCTTCTGCCTCTGTTTCTACTCTCCCTTCATCCTCTCCTTCTGTTTCTTCTCTTCTTCCATCTTCTTCTTCTCCCTTTATTTCTACTCTGCCTTCATCTTCTCCTTCTGTTTCTCCTCTTCCTCCTTCTTCTTCTGCCTCTGTTTCTACTCTCCCTTCGTCCTCTCCTTCTGTTTCTCCTCTTCCTCCTTCTTCTTCTGCCTCTGTTTCTACTCTCCCTTCATCCTCTCCTTCTGTTTCTCCTCTTCCTTCTTCTTCTTCTGCCTCTGTTTCTACTCTCCCTTCGTTCTCTCCTTCTGTTTCTCCTCTTCTTCCCTCTTCTCCCCCCTCCTCTCTTCCTCGTTCACTTTCACCTCCTTCCTCCCCTCCCTTCGGCTCTCCTATCTCAAAAACAAGATAGTCGCACTCATCTTCGTGTTTTTTCCCATTTTCTGCCTCTGCAACCGGTTCTTCCTCCTGCTCATCCCTGATTGGCTGCTGCACCCCGTGGACCCCTGGGTAATGGAGTTCCTCAGCGTCCCGGCTGCGGCAGCAAAGAACTGAGTTTTCTCTTTCTGCATCTGTTAGCGGTGGCGATGAACTGATCTCCATGGTAACTGGATCTGTTGTGGGGGAGTTGTTGACGGGGTTATTGTTTCCCGAGCTATCGTCGTCTGTTAGCTCAGCTGTAGTCCGCCTTAGCCCGGCTGTGGCTCTCTGTGGACACAAAACACTCAATTAGGACACAATTTCGAGCAGGGCTGCTCAAACATGGCAAAAATCATAATTGAGATTATTTAACGGTTACTGAATGACTTAGGAAACATCATGCAATTATTGAACATTTAAAATTGGACGCTTAATTACAACAATATATTATGAATTATCCCCAAATCCAAAATATTATTACATTATTAGAATAATTTTAAACAGCATCAGCGGCATAACTCGTTACGTTACATAAAGTTGAAAATCGACCGTGGCGTTCTGTCAGGAGATGAAATCTGGTAAAATGGTCGAAGACGGGGACACAGTGGATATTTTACTAGCATGGCCCAGGTAAAGTAAGGCTTAACAGACCTGGTTTAGTATAAGCTATAATCATTTGTAAATTGTAAAGCTAGATGAAAAGTCTGCTAGATGCTAGGCTAATTTCTGCAGAGTAAAATGCTGTAGGCTTAAACTGATAATGGTGACTAGCACGTTGTAGCAGTTATATCATCATGTTGGCTGAAGCTGAATTAAACATCACAGCGTGAGACAGAGTTTGGACTTTTAGAGAGAGGCGAAGGAAAGTGCTGTAAAGGAAAGGGTGCGCTGGATTTATAACAGAAGACAAAAGAGTGTCATTGCAAAACAGCAAGAAGCACAATAACTCTTTTTTTTTATAATCGTTGGAAGTTAAAATTGAAATTGTGATAAAAGTTTAATTATCATTTTGAGTTCTCTAGTCAAAGTCATGAGGCAGTAATTTTATTTATTTTTATATGTCCAGACGTACCAAAAAGTCTCTTGGAGCGATGCCCTAAACCCAACAGGAAGTCGGGCATTTTGAATTTTACGGCCATTTTTGGATGATTTACACACTTCGTACTTTAACGAACTCCTCCTAGGGATTTAGTCCGACCGACTTCAAATTTCTGCTGTGCCTTCTAAAGGCATTGAAGATGAAAAGTTGTGCTATCTGTGAGTTTTCGTCGATGGGCGTGTCCGTGGCGTGGCGTCAAAGATCAACTCTTCGCCATGACACAGGAAGTTGTTGTAACTTCAGAGTACATGCTCACATCTGAAAATTGTGCTTGATAACTGTCCCACCCCGAAGACATCCACATGCCAATATTCATTTATATTCATAGCGCCAAGTGCTATGTAGCTCCACAAAGGGGACACAGGAAGTGACATCATGCACCTTCATGCAGCGTCCGAAGCGCATAGCAAATTCACAGCCGCACCGGCAGAGCTCCAGAATATGCAACGCGGCAGCCTCACACCCCGATGCGCTACACGTGCGAGGGCCCGCCCAACGCTGCTTGCAGCTTTAATTTTATTTATTTTTACACTGATTAATGAACTGTATAAAATGATTTGTTCTTTTGTAATATATTTGTAGCTTTGGCAATATTGTTGTTTTACATTCATGGCAATGACCATAGATTGAATTGAACTGATATCCCTATAACACATTCATTATATTGTCTTACATTAAGACAATATAAGATATTTTTCTGTATTGAAGGTTTTCTGAAATGTTTAAATATGCAAATTAGGCAGTATCTAATGAAATATGTGTTCGTTTGCATCTGTTTCAAGAACTGAAATCTGAAGTCAGCTTCAAAATGTTTTTGCCTGATGAAGTACCAAAACGTTGTTAATATATATTTTTTGCAAGTTAGACAGTGTGTGGGAGTTTTCTTTGCTACATTTAAAAATTTTAAAGTCAAATTTATAAGATAATTTTAGAATTATTTGAATTTTAGAATACTGTTTCAAAATTTGTATTTATTATTTCGTAATTGTGACCTAAAAGCTACTTCCATCTCAAAAGTTTGTCTTACTTATTGACTCGTAATAAGATTTTGACTACTGCTGGATTCCCCATGAGTATTTATTTATATCCCTCTTGAGTTTTCATCTTTTTTTTTCTTTTTCTGGCTTCCATGCAATAATTTAACAAACAAAACTATGCAAATGTTCACACAATTTATCTTTTCATGCTTCTCTCTGCTGCATATTGATGTGATTCAACAGGAACATTTGGGAAACTGCTTTTGCTTTACGTTAGAGTTAAATAAGTTGGAGGAGGAGCCGGGGATTGAACCGCCTATTAGTCGGCAAACCGCTCTACCTCCTGAGCCACAGCCCTCAATCTTTATCCATCCATCGCCAACCGCTTATCCTGCGGGGGTCGCGAGGGGGCTGGAGCCAATCCCCGCTGGGATTGGGCGAAAGGCGGGGTACACCCTGGACAGGCCGCCAATCCATCACAGGGCCACACATAGACAAACAACCACTCACACACACCTAAGGACAATTTAGAGCCACCAAATCAACCTAGTCCGCATGTCTTTAGATGGTGGGAGGAAGAACCCACGCAGACACGGGGAGAACATGCAAACTCCACACAGAAAAGGCCGGGACAACCGAGGTTCGAACCCACGACCTTCTTGCACCACCGCACCGCCCGTGCCCTCAATCTTCATATCTTTGAAAATAAATGTCTTCGACAAAGCCTACAAATCCACTGGGACGATCATGTCAGTAACGAGGAATTGATTAAGAGCATGAAACCACCGAGCGCAGAAGTGAGACGGAGGAAATGGAAGATGACTGCGCCCCAGAATGGAGAAGGGATAAAGGAAGACCAAAAACCACGTGGAGGCGTGCAGTGGAGAAAGAGCGGAAAGAGAGGCGGGTTGGTAATTCATGACACGAAGCACAAGTGATAGCAGAGAGGAAGAGATGGAGAGGTCATGATATAAAATAACTTCAAAACAGAACTGGATAATTATTTGCTTAAATTACATCTCTACACTCGTGCATAAAAACCCACTCATGCACTCAGAGTGGAGGAGATTAAAGTATATGACTGTTTCATGGGCTAAACTCAAGCCTGCATGATGTTACCATGGTGGCAATGCGTTGGCTGTGAGTGGGCTTGCAGATTATTATGGTCTGTCGTTCAAGGCATGCGCTGGGGACATACGGGAGGTGTTGATATGGTAACACTAAGTATAGACGCAGAGGCAGGAAAAGCAAGCTGCTGAAGCCATTTCTCTCTCAGTTAAGTCACAACGTGGAGAGAATTAATCATATATCCAGTAGCAATAAAACAATGATCACAATATAATTTTATGTATATAAATACAATATAATAAATGTTCAATATATATCAATATAATATATTGTCAATAAATATTTGCTTTAATTCATTTTAATCTCGAACAAATTAGCACTTAATTTTTGTATTAAAATATTTATTTTGTTGGGGGGAGAGACCTGAAAAAAGATTAACTAATCATATTTGTTGAAATAAGATAATAGTTTTAAATGTTCTAACTCAGACTTGTGAAGTGATCCACTGTTTGGCATCAAGTGTCACATTCTGACCATAAAGAAACGTTACACAACACAATTAACCATCTGGTTTCTTCAATTTTCACTCAGGAGCAAAAATCAGCCTTTAAACTTTAAAGAAATAACGATTTGACATATATCTTGATAATTATCGATTTTGAATGATATGAAATGTTTTTATCGTGGTAACATTTTTATATCCAGCAATGAGTCTTGCACGACGGTAATATTGATGTAAGTTAACAACTAAAATAGGAAAATCGAAAAGTGCCAAAATCTCTGACCGTGTTTGCTAACCAGAAAGCATTTACCTGAAATGACTGCAGAACATTCCCCTGCCTCTGATGATTAATTAGACCATGTGTAATTGTGTGCCTTAATTAGGTGCCTGCCTTTCTGTGTATCGAAAATAAAGTGCAGAGTCTTGTGTAATACTAATTACACAAGACACACACAGTTACAGTCAAGTCTGTGGGGACTTGCCTTCCTTATGGGAACAAAATGCAAGTCCCCATAATTTAAATCAATCGTGGTTAGGGTAAAGACTTGGTTTAAGGTTAGGTCCAGTTTTAGTTTAAGGTTATGTAACATTGGAATCCCAGGCTGGACATTTATCACAACAACAGAGCAACGCTTTACGACACCAACAAGACTCTTAGTAAAATATATAATGTGTAGTGTGAGATCTTTGGAAGAAGCTAGCTCGGTCCTCTCAGTATGGATATCCTGGCATAAGCTGCAAAGAGGCCAAAAAAAGACGTCGGAGGACGGGAGGAAGAGAAAAAGAGTGACGGAGCAAGAGGCCGAACAAGAGTAAATATCGGACTGGCTTTCACTTAGGGCTGCACAATATATCGTTTTAGCCATCGCAATGTGCCCATGCGCAATAGTCACATCGCAGAAGAACGCAATGTCAAGCAAGTCAAATAAGCTCAACCACCTCAACTTTTTTGCTGATGTATACAAAAGGAAAACTTGCACGGTTCTCATTTTCCATGACTATCCTACAAGAGAAATCTGTCCAATGGAACATAATTTAATCCGATTTAATGGTTCTTGGATAAACATGCTCTGCATGCACAGCGACCCAGCAATAACAATGTTGTTTAGCTGTCGTCAACAACCGAAACTGTGGATTTGGTTGCAAAAAGAAAAGCAAACTTTGTCAAGCACTCAGGGGGCTGGTGTCTAGCTGCTCTTTAATTTACTTTTATCATTTAGTTAAAATTATGTTTACGGCATTAATACTCAAGAAAGGATTTTTGCGCTCAAAAAGCCTTCAGACCTACCAAATCACCCAATAATTCTAGGATGCTTAGTTCATTTCAAATAAAAGCAACTGAAGTCATCCTGTGAAAATTCCTGCATTTTTTCATATCGCAATATAAATCGCAGAAAAGAAAACGTCTGTTTTTTTCCAATATCGTGCAGCCCTACTTTTACTTGTTGGCGTGAGCTAAAAGCTAAAAGAAAATATGTGGAAACAAAGATTATTGCCCCAGCATCAATGACACACGTTCATAACCATTGCGCAGGATTATCTTTATTGTCCACCGGCCAAATTGCTAGTGAGTGCTCAAAGTGTACCAGCCACTCAATGGATAAATTTACTAACCATCTGCATATTTTACCAGCTGGTGCTAATTTTGCACCAATAATACCTATATATACATGCCAACAGATGTCACTGCGCGCACGCTTAGCGTTATTTTCAATATAGCCAAATGTTCAGTTCTCACAACGTGTCACAACATCTGGCTAAGGATTGGAGTTATTAGTTGCACAGCAGCTCTCAGCTCTAATCCAGCTTCCTATCACTGCCTGCCTGGATTTGAACCAGCGACCTTTTGGATTATAGGCGGATCCCTCTAACCTCTGTCTACTTCCCTTTGAACTTCAGATTTAAAATGTATGCAAAACGATTTTCTACATGGAACTAAATTGCCGGTAAAATAAATTAACTTCACCTGAAACGTGTGTCATCATCAGCATCATCTCATCAGACTGAAATCAAATCAATTGGCTGTATTGGCAGGATGTTTTAGTTTAAACATGTCGCCAAAGCAGAAAGTCACATATAAACAGTTAAATTAAATTATTAATAATAATAATTCTGATAATATTACAGTCATTTTATACAAATAACAGAGGTTATTTATTCCCTCTATTAGTCTGAGTTTCCACTGGCTCTCTCTCTCTCTCTCTCTCTCTCTGTGGTGGGAGGATTACAGAGCAGCTTTAGGCATCATGTGTTTTATAAAAGATGATGAATAAGTGAGGGCATGTTGCCTCATCAGTAAGCAGGCACTCATTTTGTTCTATTATTTTTCTATTCTATTCAATCATGTCTGTTCTATTGTGTCATGTTCTCTTATTTTTTACCATCAAAGCAGAGATACAATAATAATAATACTAAATTGTATTTGTAACAGTTTATATTTAAACAAATCCCAAGGTGCTTCAGATTTAAAACAGGAAAGTGCTAAAAATAAAACATATAAAGCACAAAAATAAAAACAATAGGACAAAGCAAAAGCTCTCCTAACAAGGTTTAATTTGGTTGGAGTCTTCTCTGAAAAATCAACATGGAGCTTAATCCCAGATCAAATGTACCTTAATGGTCTTGAATATTGTCTCCTGGAGTTATATTAAATATATTTATTGTCTTGTGCTGCAACAAGAAAAATAATCAAGACTTCACAATAAAGTATTATCATTATTATTCTCTTCCTCATCATCCAGTGCAGTTTCATTATGTTCTGCTACAATATTAAACTCTGTCAGAGGAGTGCCGAGCCACTGGTGTTATATAAGAACAGCATCCTAAAATCGGGCAAAGCACCAAAATCGTGACGGATAAGCGTGCATATACAGAAGCCAAGAAAAACGGGGCTTTGATGGTAGCTCAAGCAAAGCCAAAGCCTCGCGCGTAGGCTACATGGTGACAGCCCCAAAAAAAAACACGTCCCCAAATCTCCACCGCACGAGCAGGAGGCCATAAACCCCGGGTGGGGGAGGAAAAGGTGTTGTTGTTTATTATAAAGACGTTGTTGACGCGTGTCATCGTTTATTTACCTACCAACAGCTTCCAGCACAGCAGCCAAAACGAGATCATCTCCAGGCGGCCGCGGCGCGCGCATTCCTCTCCACCTGTACCCAACGGCAGCGCGAGCAGCCAGGCGGCTACCCGCTGGCGCGAGGAGGGACGCATATACAAGCTGACGGGTAGCGGCGCGTGTGTGTGTGTGTGTGTGTGTGTGTGTGTGTGTGTGTGTGTGGTGGAGAGAGGTAGAGAGTGAGGAGAGAGAGAGAGAGAGAGAGAGAGGAAGGTTACATCGACCTGGTCTATTATGTTGCCGGTGAATTAGAGCAGAAGAGATAAATATGTATTGGCAGACTCTCTCTCTCTCTCTCTCGCTCTCTCAACCCCCCCACGCTGCACGCGAGTGCTGCATCCGGCCGTTCCCGCCCTCCAGGCTGCAACACTGTAAAACAGCCATCGTAACAAAGCGCGCCGGCCGCGTGGCAAGTAACGCTCACTGATTACACGGTTTGATTGGATGCGTTACGGTGACGTCACGATCTGGTGCACTCTTAAAAGTTCCCGTGAAATCAAAATCTGTGTTTTAATTGTTTTTAAAGCCTTTGCACAGTCCATCACCAAAACACCCGTATCTGGCCCATTAATGGTGCTCTTGATGGTATTTTAGAGTTTGTCATTTCCTGGATAACCATTTTGAAATGTTGATGACTCATCCTGCACTCGGGGTGATTCGTTTAGCGTCCAATAATCAATGCCACCAGAGCGTAATGTTTCCGGGATGCAGACAACTTTATTTACTGATTTTGGTTAAACTGTAGGTAACTGATGGAGAACATGTGTTCTGGTTCATCCTCCTTTGCCTAAATCTGAGATTTACGTAGTTTGCTGATGAACAGATAGTTTTACTTGTTGCTGAAGTAATAGCTAACTCCTGCTAATTAGCTGCTATTATATCATTAGCTCAGTTAGCCGTGCAGCTAGTGGTCAAATGAGCTGATTCTGCTGGACTTGGGCTACGTCATCCACACTACTGCGTTTTTGTTTTAAAACCCAGACCTTTTGCCACGTTTGCACCTTCCCGTCCAGACTACAACGGCGAATCCGGAGACATAAATGGAGAAGTTTGAAAACGCTGCTGACCCCTTTTTTTTTTTTTAAACTCCTGGGTAGCGTATTAGTGTGGACACGCAAAAACAGAGGACTTTAAGAATAATGATGCAGACACTCACATTTGGCTTCCTGATTCCTTATAAGGCATTCCAAGCTAGACGCGATGCTCCTGACATTGGTTTTGTTTTGGTATTTTTATTTAAATATTTTGTAGGTCCCATGTGGCAGAAGCGGAAGTGAGGGGCTCTTTATACAACACTAGCAGCCTACTAGAGAATATTTACATAAGCACAAAGAGGCCATACATTCATGCATTTTAATTACTCTGTTTTCCAGTGATAAAGAGTTAAATTTTTCTCGATCTCAAATTAACAAATGGTGTTTTCCTGAGGTAATGAGATGATTTTCTCGAGATAACGAAACTTTGTTTTCCCAAGATAACGACATAATTAATTTGAGAGTTACGAGAAAACATTCATTGTGATAGAACGCAGATGAAGCTGTATCCTTGCAAACCTTCTTCTTCTTAGATGACGTGACTATTGTTCTCGAGATCTCCAATTAAGTTTCATTATTTTGAGAAAATAATCCCTCAGTATAAGAACATTTGTTATCTAAAGATAATGACACAAATAACTTGAGATCTCAAGAAAACAAAGTAAATTAGCTTATCACGTTATCAACTAAATAAAAAATAAAAAAACGGTAATAATGTAAGGCCTCATAGAGCTCCTGCTAAATTCTCAATGTATTATAGCAACGAAAGGATGAAGGTGTTATATTTGAATTGAATTGGGAATTAAAAAAGCTTTTTTGTCTAACATTAAAGTCAGGAGAAATTTTGCTGCATCTAGCAATTTAGCACAGTTGACCTGACTTAAACTTGCCAACTGACAAAGAAGTCATCTGCAAAAAAAAACAAACCCCAGGCCAACGTCTATCCCAGCGTAACCTTCATGCTTTCAGAAAATACTGACAGTCCATTTTTGTGCTTTTCACTTATAGCCCAGGGTGTGCAGTTTTCTGGACAACAAGTCAATATGGCAGCCTGGTACATGTCACACCATATAACACAAAGCAAACTCACTGCCCAGTGGAACAAAAATAACTACAATTTACTGTATTTTATCTTTCTTGTTGATTTAAAGATTCTTAAAAGCCCGTATTTCCTGATTGCCAAAATGCATGCTCCTTCTCAGAGCCCTAACAGTCAAATCTGAACACAGACATGATCCACGTACTTTTATAATAACGGAGGGTTAATGTCCATAAAGTCCATAAAAACACTTCTAACTCCAGAATGTGCCTGAGAATCAACAGGTTTCAAAGTTTTCTTCAGTATTAGTAGTACTATACATGTTTATCGTATCTTTAAATCAGTCGTACACACAGTACTGTCCAACCTAACCTAATGTGCAAAATACCGCATGATGTTGTCAACTGGTATTGCTAACAATGGCTCGAGGCGTCCAACCTGGTTTTCTGACTGACATCTGTTGTTGTACTGGAACGCGGTCAACTCGGGTGTGATGGCGTTGATTACATGGCTTTGATTAATGGTACTAAATCACATGTTGCATGTACTTTTTTTGCGAACGTCTCATTTGTAATATGGTATTAGGTTAGTTTGCTGTCCATGTAGAGTGACCTACATTAATTAGGAAAGTTATTTATTAGCAGTCTTTGCAGTACAAGAAATATTTTAGAGGTTTCAGGTAATTTACCGGTGCAGTAACAACTCTGAGACAAAAATAACTTTGTAATAGAAAGCTTCAAACTGTTTCAGCAGATTTTGATGAAAACGAAAATCCTACACATCTTTGTAGCACCGTCCGTTGTTTGACTTTGTTCGCAGATTCCAACTTAAAAGCACAAGAACAAACCGAAGTTGGAAGCACGACTTCACACCTCGGGACATCCGAGGAGCACCTGAATGCACCTTATTCCCTGGCAACAGTATTACATCCCCCAAAGAGTTGTGGGAACTGTAGTTTTAAAAGATGGTGGATGGTAGTTGAGGCAGTAAACCCCTTTTTTAGACTAATCAGGAAAGAGTCTAATAAATGATTTATTGTATTGTGTATAGTTTTGTTGTTTAAAATGTATTTATAAACAGCGGTAACAGCTCACTGACTTTAGTTTATAAAGCAGGGTTTACAGCCGACCTTGAGATTAACGGACGATGACCCTGACTAAAAGTAAAAGAGGTGATTAACAGAGGGCAGGATTTCACATTTCGACAGCTAATGTCTGACATCTATTTGATTAAACAACTGATTTAGTTGCTGGACTGGAGTGAACAAACTGCATCGTTGTCAGAGGCTGAACAAACCATCAGTGCTTGTTTCATATCTCCTTTTTCCCCCCTTCTCTACCTCCTTTCCTAGATCTTTCAGTTGTAGTTCCTCCTTCTCCACCTGCACTCATTCCTTACATCAGTCATACCTCATTTTTCCCACTAACTCTATCAAAACATTCTTGCCATCGTTGCAGTGTCAGGGGAAGTGATGGATGAAATGTGATGACCCTGCTGGAGTTTCGTCTGTGACTGTTATGTCATCTGTGTGTGTGTCTGAGAGAGAGAGAGTTTGTGTGCTAGGTTAGCTGAGGTTCCAGTGTCTGCACACCAGATCACAACTGGCTGAACGGTCCAAGCAACCACACACACACACGCACGACAAAGACAAAGGGAGTCCAGCCACCCTGGATGAGGACAGCAGATTAGAGAGAGGACAGACAGACAGATCAACGGGAAGAGAGAGACATAGAGAAGGGCAGGAAGAGAGAGAGAGAGAGATGAGTGGTTTCGCCGTCACCATTTGAAGCAAAAACCCAGATTTGACCTTCAGATCCGAAATCATTATTGAACTTAGTTCAAACTGGAATGTTAAAATGGTGACAATCTATTCTTAATCCTTCATAGTAAATAAAAATTAAATAAAGTAAATTAAATTAAATAAATATTTAAATGCGAAATTCAAATTACTTTTTATATTTATATTTAATATTAAAGTATTGCTAGAAATTACAGCACATGGTGTTGTCATGTGGGCAAATTCTAACTGGTGTCCCTGATAGGGGTGTAACCTGAGCTGGAACAACCACCAAGTGACAAATGGCAACTAAATGTTGGAAGGTTATCCGCCACATTTGGCACGATATCGCCATGTAATAGCTATCTGACGGGAGCTAGCAGCAGGCCGGAGTTCTCGTTTGTTGTGTGTTGCACTTTTACCAAGGGATCTAAAATGGTGTGACACATGGATTAGGATGGGTTCACTGGGTTTTGTTTATGTTCATTTCATGTTGCATGTGTTTAATTGCTGTAGATTTGGCTCATCAACCATCACTCCAACCAGGGTGGTGAGAAACTTGGGTGACATGATTGATGAGCAGCTTTTCAGACCATGTTGCTGCCGTCTCTCGGTCGTGCCGCTTCGCTCTATACAACATCAGAAAAACCCTACCTCACTCAGTACGCCACCCAGCTTCTGCTACAGGCCGTGGTTATCTTTCGCCTCGACTATTGCAACGCCCTCCTAGCTTTTCAGCTTGTGCGGTGAAACCCCTACAAATGGTTCACAACGCAGCAGCGCGTCTGGTTTTTAATCAGCTCAAAAGTACTCATGTCCCTCCATTACTCAGTGACCTCCACTGGCTCCCCGTGGCCTCCAGAATCAGATTCAATTGCATACAGAGCTCCTGCTGAGTCTGCACCATCTACCTAAGCTCCATAATCCAAGCCTACGTTCCTTCTGGGCAACTGCGCTCCTCCAACGAACGCCGCCTGGCTCTGCCGTCCCTTCACACAAAGCAACCTCAGTCCCTGGTCTCATCTGTGACACCACGACGGTGGAACGAGCTACCACAAGCCATCAGAGCAGGGGCGTCCCTCTCTAACTTCAAGAAGCTCCTGACAACTCTTCAGAGAACACTTCCTCTTATAACACCTCTAACATGCGCTTCCTGTGCTCTTCTTCTTCTGTCTCCTTACAACCCTCTTGTATTTAGATCCACTGTATGGGAGCGTTATGGGTCACTGGTTCTTTACAGTGAAAATGGACTACGATTATAGTCAAACTGTATGCTGACATTGTTCAACAAAAGTCTGGTATGTCTGTGACGGCATCGCCCGAAAGTGTCTGTGAATGTTTTTAAATGAAGTGTAGTGGTACTAACCATGTACTGAAAAGATGGACTCACATAATGTAATACACACGAAAACCTAATAGATCCTTCTCAGGTCTAACTAATAACATCTATCCACTGAAGTTTCCCATTAAGCCACCCTCGTTAGCCCAAATTCACAATACCATTGACCGGC